AAAAGTAAAAAAAACAATTTGGTGTCATTGATCTTTTATATTATTTTTCTAGTCTTTGTTTCATTTCTTTTCTGATCATTATTTTCTTCCTTATACTAGTTTTGAGCTTAGTTTTTTTCTACTTTTTCTAGTTCTTGGAGGTATAACAATAGGTTATTATTTGAAATTTTTTCTTTTTTAATATAAGCATTTATTGCTATAAAATTCTACTTTAGAACTGCTGTGCTACAACTGATAAGTTTTGGTATGTTATGTTTTCATTTTCATTTGTCTAAAAATATTTTTTAACATTTCCTTTTTGATTTCTTCTTTGACCCATTGATTGTCCAGGTGCATGCTGTTTAATTTCACATATTTGTGAATTTTTCAGTTTTTCTACTTGTTGTTGATTACTAGTTTCGTACCATTGTGTTTGGAAAATATACTTCATATGATTTAAATCTTCTTATATTACAGACTTGTCCTATGGCTATAGTGAATGCTTACAGTTTTATGTTGCCTCGGCATCCATTTTGAATATAAGTTGGACTTTCTCATACCAGAAGTAGGGCTCAGTCACCCTTGACACTGTTTACAGTCCTACACCTCCTCCAACTTTCTCTATGTGGCCAGTACAGATAACTGCCTTATACAACTGCCTGCTAGTGACCACTTCCTTATGGGACTGGCCCCACTGACCCTAACACCCTGCATGGACTGTACAGATATGCCACAGTGACTATCTCTCAGTCACTGTGTGACCTTCTGGAACTGTGTGCCTTCTTGCAGTTGTAGGGGCCAGCTGCAGGCACCCATGTAATGGTGGGGATAGGAGTTAGGCCAGTTGCATGTTCATGTGCTCCCGTGGGGCTCAAATTTGTGGTGAGCATATGTGTGGCTGCAGAGGCCAGCTGCAAGTGCAAGCACAGTAGTGGGGGCAGGTGATGGGGTAACAGGGTTGGCTGCATGCATATACGTAGCTGTAGGGGCCAAGGCTGCTTTGTACATGTGTGGAGTTCTAGGGGCCAGCTGTGGGCACATAAGCCAGTGGATGCCCATGATGGGGAATGGTGGCTCTGTGTGCATGTACAGCTGCAGGGACCAGTTGTAGGTGCAAGCATGGTGGTGGGGGCCAATGATGGGAGTTAGGGCTGTCTGCTTGTGTGGGTTCAGGTGTAGGGGATGGGGCTGGTGGCAAGCATGCATGTGGCTGCACGATCCAGCTGTGGGCACATGCTCAGTTGTAAGACCTGGTGACAGGGGTGGGGCCAGCTGTCCCTAGGCACATGGCTAAAGAGTTAGCCATCAGTGCGCACTTGGTGGTGAAGGATGGGTTTGTAGCAGGGGCCCAGGCCATTCTGGGGCTCATACACTATGGCTACACCGGGTTTCTGGGTTGGGGCACTGACAGTGGCAACAGCTGGGGCTTCTTTGGGAGGGGATAGGGAAAGGGATGATGGCTCAGGCACCTGGAAACTGTGAAAGTGAAAAACTGTGGGATCCTCAGTGGCAAAATTTGCAGGGTCCCCTGTGGCTGTGCTGGTTGTTCATTTCCTCTGTGGCAGAAGCTTCTGAAGTTCTCTGCAGAGCAGGCTGCTGGGGTCCACAATGGTGAAACTGCGGGGTCCTTGGCAGTGAAAGCTGGGGTGGAGGGCACTGTGTGGTGGCTGTGAGGGCTCTTGAGGTCCTCAGGGGAGAAGGCTGCTGGGGTCCTGTGCAGAGCATGCTGCTGGGGACCATGGTGGCATCTGCCACATGTCTGGTACTGATAACCTCTGTGCTTCCTCTTTGTGCCAGATGTCTCAGCTATGCTGGTCCCCCCAGCAATCCAGGTGGGGTAAAACTGAAATGGGTCATTTGGGAAATGCTCTGAAAGGCTGGAAAGCTGATTGTAGTCCCCGCTTGCCTTTCCTTGGCAAGTGAAACTTGAGAGCTGGGGAGTTCTTTCTCTGTGGTGAGCAGTGCTGGGGGAGGCGATGGGATGATGCAAACAAAATGAAACTATTCTTCCTAGTGTGTAGTTATTCTCATTTTTTCTGCCACCATGTTGCGATTGCTACTTAACTGGGCTCCTGAGTTCTCCTGGAACTATTTTCCTTCGTACATAGCTGTCCAATTATTGTTCTTCATAGGGGGAACAAAGGCTGGGGTCTCCTACTCTGCCATCTTGCTGACACCACCCACACTTTGTGTTCAGGAACTTAAACACCACTGCCATGCACCCCCTGTCAATTATTATTGAGGAAGAGCAACTTGACGGAAAGACCTTGGGGCCAACACTCAGGAGACCTGGGTTCCAGTCCCAACTCTGCCACTAGTGTGACAGTATTATAAAGCAAGCTCTTTATGCTTTAGACTCAGTTTTTCCATTTGTCCAATGGAAATAAGGATCCAGGCCCTGCCTATCTCAGAGAGACTGGCCAAGTGCCATCATATGGGGACCTGTACGCCCTCTGAAATGGATCCCGAACTTCCCCAAAGGAAGGTAATGTCTCAAACTCACAGGTACCTGCTTATAATTTCAGCCTGAAAATCCATGAGGAGTGAATAAACTTCATATCCCAATCACCCAGGTAAATATCTAACAGTTGTGGCACCATTAATTTAGTACTCCCTATATGCCCGGTACCCTGCAAACATTCTCCTCACACCACTTCCCCTTGAGGCTTCACAACCCCACAGTGAGGTAGGGGCTGCTGCGGTCACGATTTCACAGGGAGCAATCCAAAGGCAGGGAGGCTGAGGACCTCGGGTGGGAAGAGGTTGAATCTCTAGGTAAAGACAGGTCAGGCTGACTCCACATAGTGTCTTCCAGCCTCCCTGCTCTTATCCCCATAAGCAAAAAGCCTGGCAAGCTGGAGGGGTTAGGAGAGGTCAACCTGAGGCCATGGGGTGGGGAGGTGGGGAAACTTTGGCCTCAAGGAGCAGGCCCTTGACGTACAGTACTTTCACTTATGTGCATGCAAAGAACTTCTTCAAGGAGCCGGAAAAGTCGCTGGGAGAAGTGATGGATAAGGGGCAATTGGGAAGCTCATTAGAATGGGAGTCACTTCTCTGTCTGCCCTCTGGGTCCTGCCTTCCTTACTTGGAGAGCTGCTTTTGTACACCTCACTGCTGAGGGCCCCGCTCCCTGGGAGTGGACCACTTTCCTCTTTGTCTTACGGTGTAAACCAAAGTTGAAGGCAGAGGCCTGGCAAAGGCCCATTACTCACTTTTAATGAGACAGCCAGGGAAATAAATTGGCATATGTTAGTGAAATGGCTCATCAAGGTGAGTAATTATCTTCATGACTGGGGCAGTTTACCCTCCAAAGAAAGAATTTGCATCTCATCTTTCACTGGGATGTGGCTCTCGAGAACTGGGGCAGGAGGCCAAGTGGAGCTGGACACTGAGCACAGACACCTCCGCTTGCCTACTCTTGCTGTGCACCATGGACTTGTCACTCTCTAAGTTGCAAAGCTTTCGTGGGGCAGACTGCACAATTGATCTTAGAGGACTAGAAACCCAGAGGAGAAACATGAAAAGCAGTTGTTTTATATTTTTACGGAGTGGTGTGTGTGTCTGTGTGGTGGGGACAGGGTAGGCATTTCATGGGGCCTGTAGGAGAAGCTGTCAGGGAATAGTTCTGACAGCTTCACTAATTAAAATTACCCTTTTCTTAGTTCTGAACCAAACTTTAATTAAAGTCCTGTATTTGCTCCTTTACTTTCTTGTGCGCTGATAGTGTATCCTGCACAATCAGCATCTGGTCATGTCCTGGTGTTTGTCATCTCCACGTGTTTTGGCATTTTACAAAGAAATTATCTCATCACTATTTTTTTTTCTGTCTTATGCATATTAGTTGTATCTTCCAAGACAGGTCATAAGCTACTTGAGGTCAGGGATGGGGTTGTCTCCTTGGCTTCCGCTGCAGTCTCAGGATGCAGAAGACTGTATCATAGATTATGTTTCTCCCTGCTCTCAATATCAAGAAGCTATCTCCTAAAGGCCTGCAAGCAGGTGATTGATGTTATTTCCTTCTATACATTGGCTACCAGGAGGCTCAGAACTGATTCGTTGCCTCACCCTGGCTCATGGTATGCTTTATGAATCAACTTCACCCTTGATGCCAACTGGTTTTACTTTTTTTTTTTCCCTACTAGATTGTAAGCTGCATGTGCACAGGCCCATGTCTGTTTTGAGTTCCACTCTATCCCCATCCCAGTGTCCAGCACCATGCCTGGCACTCAATAAATAACTACAGAGTATATGAATTTCAGGTTTTGCAACTTTTGCATCTTTGTGTGGTACTTAAATCTTATTTGAAACAAAGTGGGAAGAACATACAGACACCCATGCGCTCACACTAATGATTAAACAATGTACTTGGCAAATACTTATCATTTGACATGGTCATGGTATTGAGAATCACAAAGTAGGCTGAGCTGATTGGGCCTCTGGTTGTGGTGTTTGCACTATAACAAGTTTTTTTTAACCAGATGTGTGGCATTGTGAGTTTTACAGACTGTGTTCAGTGAGTGGGTTCTGAGGTTTCCTGGGGTTGTTAGCAGAACCTGCCAGGTCTGCTAATCATGTAAGGCCATTCCCTGGAGTGCAGGATTGAGTTCTGGACTATGGAGCCTAGGCCAAGGATGGCAAGAAAGACACCACCTGCCAATCCCATTCAGAGCCCCCATTTGGCCTTCAGAGTCCGGGGTGGTAGATTTGTTTCCCTGACCCCACTGGGGTCCTCTTAGGACACTTACCATTTCTTTCAATGGCAAAAGGCACATCTGTTGTGACGATTTCATAGTTGCAAATCTGGCTGTACTGGGGGGAGCAGTCCTCATCGACAGCCTCCACCTGCAGGATGCTGTCGTAGATCTTGCCCTCCGTCACGACAGCCTTGTAGGCCGGCTCTTTGAAGGTGGGAGCAAACTCATTGACATCCTTCACCTGGATGTGGACCACGGCCCTGGGATCACACACAGGAAGGAAGGGATGGTGGTAAAGAAAGAATCACGCCAATTTCCCACCCCTCCTGGGGGCACAGACTGAGGTCCTGAGGCCAAATGAAATGAGGGCCACAAGCCACTTGGGGCAGTTGTCAGATTGTCTGTCCTCCCTCTCACTGGAGATCTTCTCCCTGCTTTCACCCCAGTGATCTGAGACAAATCCAGCCCAGAGAGACTCTTTCCTATTCTTTACCCTTCCCCATTCCCCAGCTTTAGGCAACATGTTTCCTCTTCATTCCTCCCCCCAGTCATTTACTCCTCCATTCGGTAAGAATTTAACCCCCTTATTCAGCATCAGGCTCTGAGCCAAACGCCATAAGGGAGCAAGCAGTGACAACCCACAATGAACAGTGCTGTGACAGAAGCACATAGCACTGCAGAAGCCCAGGGAGAGGTCCTACCCAGGTCAGATGGGCCAGCTTAGGGAAGGCTTCCTGGAAGAGGTGACACCTGAACCTAGTCCTGAAGATGGAATAGGAGTATCTTCAAGTGAAGAAGAGGAAGTAGAGTACTGTAGGTGTAGGAAGCACCCTGTGCAGGTGGCTGCCGGGGACTGGGAAACTGGCAAGCCGTTGAGCAGGGCCGGAGTACCACGGTGTGACAAGGGGGTAAACATATCAAAAGAGCAGTGTGTGAATGGAGGGGCTGGGCAGGGCGGGGAGGGGTGTCCCAGGAGCTCTATCAGGCCACTCACTTGTGTGACTTCTTCCAGGCCGTCTCCCGGGGCCCGGCGCCGCAGTCGTAGGCCTGGATGATGAAGGTGTACTCCTTCTGCAGCTCACAGTCGATGGGGCTCTTGGCACGGAGCCGGCCCTCCCCCGACGTCTTGTTGAGCACCACAGCCTCAAAGGGCAGCTCCTGGCCGTGGATCTTGAACGCACAGATTTCCCCTGCAGAGGATGGAGGACAGTGAGTGGGAATCCTAACAATTGCCAGACTGAAGACAGCGCTTCCATTGACCAGATCTGCAAACCCAGACCCTCCCTGCAATTTCCTCTGTGCACATAGAATTGCCAAACCAGAAGAGGCCTCCAGTGGTCCAGACCCACATGTTCATTTCACAGATGGTAAAATTGAAATGTTTTATGCATGGAAATGCCACCCATCAAGTATATTCTGCTGAAAAAGGTGAGAGTCATTGTGCCAGGGAGCTGGCTGATTTTCCAGTTCCCCAGTTCTCCCCGCAGGTTCCCCACTTGCCCTCTGCCCAGTCTGGGATTAGGGAACTTGCTCGTAGTCAAAAGACAACTGACCGCAGAGGAAAGTAGTAAAAGGCCATAGCTTTACACAGTCTTTTGTCCCATGAACACATCCTCACTGCTTGAGAGTGTGGTCCATGAACCAGCGGCATTGGCATCACTTGGGAGCTTGTTAGAAACGCAGAATCCCAGGTCCCACCCAACCCTGTGGAACCAGAATCTGCATTTGAACAGGATCCCCAGGTGATTTGTTTGCTCACTGGAGTAGCACTGCTCTTCTCTTTCCTTCACTCCTGGCTTAAACACCCCACATTGCTGCAGCCAAATTCTCTCCACGGCCACCACCTCTCCATTATGTCTCTCCACCCACCACTTCCCCTGTGCAATTTTCTCTTTTGAAACAGTGGGGGTGAGTCTGTGTGAGTTCCCGAGTCCGTGTGGAGCCTGAAAACCTAACTTGCTAAAGAGCTGAACGTGTTGTCAAATGAATGCATTTCTCCTCTTCAGCTGGGCTAACGATTATTGTAACTATTGCTCTGTGACAAAATTATAAGGCCATGAGAATATCTCTCTTTTCTCAATCAATGGATTTTTATTATTGAACCCCAACTACAAGCAAGCACTTAGTAAATGCCTTGGGAAGTGCCAAACAGCCTCATGGCTTCTCAGGGAACCACCTGAAGGATTGCTCCCAGGAATATTCTATATTCTAATTCAAGTCTCCCTCAAGAGAGAACCCCTCCCTGCCATTTTACATATAGGAAGCATGACCTGATCTCTTACTAACAATGTTTTCTAAGATGTTCAATCAATACCAATCTTACCTTTAGGCTTTTTTTTTTTTATTTCATTGATCCTCAGTTTCATTACAAACATTCCATTTTCACTGCCTCCCCTCCTGGCCACTTCTCAGGTGCAGGTGTGGAATAATGGACAAGACAGACAGGTTGTGGACTGGTTCTAACAAAGAGGTTGGTTCCCATTAGCCGCTGTTGTTTAGATCACTGAGCGTCTCTGTACTGCCCATCCTGACAAGGCTGGTCCCTGTAGCCTCCAGGGCAGGAGAACAGGTTTTAGCCAATCCTCAAGTTTAATTTCCGCCTGAATTAGCTGGGGTTGAACGGATGAACTTCTAAAGTGCCCATTTTGTGATTCGATCCCAAGATCAGTGCCAATATGAGACTATTACCAACAAATGTGCCCAGACTCTTTCTGGGGCTTTCTCTTGAGTGCCCAACCACTGCCGTGGTTATAAGGCTAATCAGACCATTTCTCTTTGATGAGTCAAGTTAAACCTAAAATAGGTGAGGGTAATCTTCTGTTGGAAATATCTGATCACAACTAAAGTAGTTCTCAAGACACAGAAATCCTTAACAAAAGACAAGGAGAGGAAGGAGGGAAAGGAGGAAGAGAAGAAGAAAAAGGAGACACAAAGGGAGGATACGATAAAGTAAATGTCAGGGTGACATATTCCATCTAAAGGAATTCAGTATGAATCAATTCAATACAGCTAATATTTTGTGAGAGCTAAGTCCCAGGCCTGGAGACACAAGGAAACCAACTTGGGCACCTTAAAACATAATGATACCTTATTCCCAAGTATTTCTTGCCTAGTAGAAAAAATAGACAAGTAAACAAGGGTAACCAATGCTCACTTAGTTTTCACCAGCTCAGTCTCAGACAGGATTAGTCCCTTTTGAACAAAACCTACAATTCATGTCTACCTCTTCACCTGACACCTGTGTTCGGGTTGCAAAAATTTTGTTCATTTATTTATCCATTTATTCACCTTATAAATATTTATTAGGTCTATGTGCCAGGTACCAGTGAAGCAATGACAAACAAAACCAGGCCCAGCCCTGGCCTACAAGCTGCTTGTAGTGTGTGGGGGAGGGAAGTAGCAGTCAAATAATCACACACCAAACTAAGAATGGTGGTTGGGATGTGTGCATGTCGTGAGAGCCATGTGGTGCTAACAGCCTTCTGACCTGGTCAGGCAGAGCAGGGAGGGCTTCCCTAAGGACGTGACAGCCGGGCTGAGGTCACAGGAGGAGAAAGTGGAAGACACCTGGGCCACGAGGAGAGAATCGTGTTTCAGGCAGGGGACAGCGTGCCTTAGGACCCTTCAGCAGGAAGGAGAATGGTGAGTCCAGGGGACCACAGAGTCCAGTGTGGCAGGGGTGAAGGCCATGACACAGGGCTGGCTTCATGCGTCTGTTACCTGAGAGCCACCCAGAGCCCTGTTCTCAGAAGTGCCCTGAGCTAGGTTTAAACCTCTGCTGTCTCTATCTTAAAATTCTTAATAATTTTATCTTTGAACTTGTGTTTTGTAAATGAAGTCTGATGGGACAATGGATCACGTCACGAGCAGAGGAGATGGGTGCGATATGTCTGTCCACTCCGTCTTGCTACCCTGTTCACGTATAGCATTCAGAACTCCAGGGGACCCACGACTCAACGTGTGGGAGTTCAGCAAGAACAAGGTAAGCAGGCATGTTATGTCTTCAACTGATTAAGCAGGAAGCTGACCTCCTCAAGAGGCCACACTTTCCCACACTTTCTGTTTGAACCAGAACTTGCTTCAAATGCAGAAAGAAGGCAGTGCAAACCAAGAAGCATGAACATTCAAGGACCCTGTTGTACCTTTTCTTACTCATGTTACTTTCTGTCTTAGCCAACCACGGATGCTGAAAATGATGGCAGAGAGGAAAAGGAAAGATCACACAACCCATACATAGTTTCTTTTCTTTTTAGGCTGCCCTTGCTATCAGTAAGCCAAAAATAGAGAGTGTTGGTCGAATGCGCGCATATAAAAAAGTGAAGTAAAAACAGTTGAGTTGGTTTTGTGTAGCATTACACTGCTCTGGTAAGAATTTAATACATATGCATACATGAACTACAAAATACAATTTCTGCAATTTTGGGGATTATGCACACCAGTTAAATGCTTTTATATTTGGATTTAAAACTGGCATTGCACAACATAAAGATACATGGTAAAATTCAGGCTAATAATTTAAAATTTTAAAAATTTTCTTCACTTAGAACTATAACAAATTGTAAATTGAAAACACTGTGACAAGTTGAGAGAGAAACTGTGGAAGAAAGGTCCCAGAATGAAGTCCTAGGAAGAAGAATATTTAAAACTGCAGTTCTCAGCGCCAGTGTATGACATATTGGGCTGTCTTGATCTTTTGTGAGGGCTGTCACTAGAATTTGTTGTCACTAATAAAGCACCGCAGTGGGAGGATGGTGTACTTAAAAGTAGAAGATCAGACCTAATGGTTTCCATATAAAGATATCACTTTCAAAATCTTCTTTCCGATATCCTTTCTTGGGTGGGAGAGCTAGCGTGCTGGGAATTGTGTGTGGACAACACACAGAGGAGTGTGCACATGAGGCCAGCCATGGGCTGAGCAGGAGTGAGGCCAGCAGCACCGGGCCACGGGGCCTCAGCTGCCCTCTCACGTGGGCTGTGGCCCACACTGGCTGAACTGGGCTTCGCCAAGAGCCCCTTGAGGGCCAGACCAGAAGACAAGGCCCTGCCACGCTGGGTGGGGCATGATGGCTCCGACCCCTCAGTCCTGTCCATATCTCATAACTACCATCTCCCCAGCAATCATACACCTCCTAAGACACCAGCAGAAGTTGTGCTTGTCTTTTAATGCCTAAGACTTCCAGAGAAAAGCCTTTAATTTTTAGAGTATATTTGCCTCTTCCCTTGAATATCCTTGAACAATAGATTGGGTTGATTTCATTTTTTGGATGAGAAAACTGAGTCTCAGAAAACTTAAGTGTTTCATCCAAGGTCACTTTGACAGTAAGAAGCAAACCAAGGACGGAATCCAGCACTCCCTTCGCTCTTTCCTGCTGCTCACCGCTGGGTGTGATGTTCCAGGACAGTGGCTTTCAAAGTGTGATCCGTGGACTCCTGGAGTTCCCAAGACTCTTTCTAGGGGCCCACAAAGTCAAAATGATCATTAGATTAATACGAAGATATTATTTGACTTTTCCACTGTGTTGATGTTTGCACTTATAACATAAAGGCAAGTAAAAGTGCTGGTATCTCAGCAGCACCGAACTGCATCCTTCCCCACAACATATTCACAGTTTAAAAAAGTCAATTCACTTAAGAATGACTACAACGATGCTATAAATATTATCGGTTTTATTCACTCTCAACCCTGAGTTCATCTCCTTTTAATATTCTGTGTGACAAAATGAAAAGTACACACAAAGCACCTTGGCACGGCAGAGTATGCTGGTCTGTCTCTAGGAAAAGCATTTGTGTGATGGAAGTTAACTGTGAACTAACTAGGAACTTTTTTCATGGAATGACATTTTTTACTTGAAAGAATGATTGACAGACAAACTATGTTTATTCAGACTTGAGTGCATGGCAGACATTTTTTGAAGTAAGCCTGTCACTTCAAGGAAACCAACTGGTAGTATCCATTGCCAATGACAAGATTCAAGCTTTCAGTTTTGGAAAATTTGTGCCTGTCAGTGTGAGCTTAACAATTTTCCAATATTTTAATACTTTTCTGATGAGATGTACAGTGATATTAATGAATATCACTGTGATATGTGACTTTTTGATATTGTATAATGAAATACGTCAACTTTTGAAAGATCTACTTAACAATGAGCCAGTATTTTCCAAACAACCAATGCATAATGTTACACAGTCC